AAGAAATCACACTATGATAGGGAAATACATCTTAATAAAAATGCACACCTGGCCTGATTTGATAATTCATTCATTTTGATTGAGTTTTTTGTTTCAAAATTCTCCATCTTTTTATTCATAATTTGGTCAGAGAGAACCAGAGCATGCAAACATCCTAAACTTATAACAAGAGTCCTGTGGCACCTTAAAGACTAACAACATTTTGTTCCATCATAACCTTTCATGGGCTAAATCCCCCTCAAATGCTATGACTGGATTCTCACTTGGCAGTCCTTTTATGTGGAGGCATAAAAACAAACAAACAGCAGGAGGAAGGGGCCATGAAATGCAGGAAATGAAGAGTGAAGTCCAAGTTAAATCTAATCAGTAAAAAGTAATCAGTTATGCTAAGCTGTTGCACACCTGTAATGGGTGGGGGATCAGGTTTTGTTAAAGATGGTTACATGCATAAAGATTCAATGGGTATTACTTAGAAAAATCCAACAGCAGAACTGGACTTCTTAGTTTTATGAAGCACTGTTTCATTCATGGACTATGTTCAAACAGTTAAACAAATCTGTGAAATTAGATAACTTTGATGTTGGTTCTTACAGCAGCAACCAGTTTCACTTCATCAAATTCACAGATCAAATCTTTAGTTCATTTCCTCTACCCGTTGGAAACCATGCAAATCCAGGAAATCTGCAAACTTTGAAGTTTACTGTATACTTTTATTCTGGGTTTGCACTCATTAATTACATTTTTAAATGCAAAAAGCAGCATATGCAGCTATTGAACTTTCTCTCAAATAGCTCCTACTTTATGCACGTTAGATAAATGAATATGTATTTCCAGATAGAGTGGAATTATAACAAATTGTTAAAATGACTCTATGGGCTTTGCTTCTGCGCGCATCAATGCAAGCCCACTTTGCTTTTAAGAATATTAATCTCCTGGCCTCTAATGGCTGGCTCACGAATGCTGGGAATTGTAGTTTACTGATGATGGATTAGATATAGCGCAAAATTTTCTCTTGCACTAGAGGTCATGCACAAGAAATGGAAGAAAAAGCTACTTGCTCCAAGTCAAACTTGCTGTAACCCCACTCAAGTTTCTGCTGGCACAATAGTTTGTGGGAGCAATTTCTGAGCAGTATAATATAGGAAGGAAAGCATTAGGTGTTGCACATGTTCTTGCACAAACTGGATCCAAGGCAGGATCCAGAATTCTCTGTTAGGGATTCTCAACTTCTCTTCACAGGACTATGGTTGGCTATTAAGTCAGCTTAAGTTGATTGGCTATATATGCCAATAAATATCAGGAAAATTAAAATGCTGTCTTGATCTCTGAGGGATGTTTTAGGACACGTAAGAGGCTGCATCCCTCATTAACCTTCTGCAACGGTTTTTGAAAGTAAAGGCAAGAGGGTGAGGCTTGATATTTCTGCGAATTAAGGCTTGAATCTTGCAGAAATTTCCACTAATGGAAGGGGGAGTGATTTCCACCAATTCCTTCTTCCCATAATACACCTTTTACAGTCCTATTCCACTGACAGAAATTCTTCTGTCAACAAAGATTTACCACAGGATCCAAGCCTTACCATACAATTCTAAGCAGTTACATCCCTCAATGGCTTAGAGGGGTGTAAGTCTGTTTAGGATTGCACTTTTAAGTCTTGCAAACTTTTACCAGTACCATTTGGATAGCATTTATGATCAAACATTTGTGTATGAGCAAGTTTTTTGGTAGATTCAATAACTTTTGCTATCTTTGGGTTTTGCATTTCAGCATCATGCTCTCTCATCACAGAAGCCCATCTGAGGCACGTAAGACTGAAATCCAAGCACAGAAGAAAAGTTCACTTAATAGCGTGATCCACTCATGAATACACATTGTATAGGATAAGGTTACAGACATGTAGGATTGATATCAAAGCATAAAAGTGGCCTTAATTTTAGCACAGCTTCTTTTCAACTTCTGCTCAGCGTGGCAATTTCAAGACTGGAGACAGGAAAACATTCCAGACTATAAATTTGGTTGAATGCTGCAAAATATTGTCCAAAGAAGTATTGGAATTTTACTTCCTAGAAGTGCCAGGGAGAGACAGAATAAGCATCTGCCAGGGCAGGTTTAAGACTAGGGAATCCTGTCGTTAATGTGAGTCGGACAGACTTTGATACGTTATGAAAAATGATTTCATTCAATTGCCATTTGACCAGAAGAGACTGGCTGTCAGGACAGCCTTTAAAACTGGGCACATCAGATGGATGGCACTGGCATGGGGAAATGTGATCCCTTGCTTTAAGAAACATGGGGATATCTTGCTCTGTAAGAACCATTTGAGGTTTGAAACGAGACTGCTTACTTTTCATCCTTGCTGAGCTGCACATTTTCCTAAAGCTCTAAGGAAAACTACCTAACTGACCCCCCCCTTACACTTGTGAAGAGAAGTGAGGTAAGAACTGTAAAGCATTTTCTGCATCCAGAAGAGCTATAGAAATTATTAATAAATAACCCCCCAAAATCTCAGACATCTGGTGCTGGCACCTTGATACGTGACATGGATTTGCACCTGTGAAAAATATTAAATGGGAGAATAGGGTCTTTGTCCGGACTGTTTTTGCACCATTTCAATGGGGGACTTAAGCACCCAGCCAATCATGCTCTGGTTTTATTGGGGGGGGGGGGAGATAACCAGATATTGCTTTTCTTACTCTCCTCCACGTAATCAGAACTTGCTTCCAAAATTTACTGTGATTTCAGAAACCATTTCTAACATTGCACAGGGAGAGGTGCTCAGGTGAAAGATTCTGCCCTTAATTCAATTGTTCCTAGAAAAGCCAGCAGTAGTCCTATGAAACATACATTCCATTCTCTGCTTTCCATACCATAATTGATCAGCAGAGTGAGCTAGGCCATCATTGCACAACACAGCCACAGATGTCACAAGCTCTGTGGAATTTAAAGGCAGCGCCCCCAGTCAGTAGACCTTTGAGTAGAGCCCTCTTATGCACCTATGGTACTGGGCAGGAACATCTCCCATTATTTATCTGCAGCCCAAACAGTGCTGTCAATTTTATAGATCTTTACCTGAGGACAGGGGAAACCTCGATTCACTCCCTTCACCCCAAATAAGTGATTGAGCAATTTCAAGTTGAATAGTGTATTATGCTTGCTTGCACAGGACTCTCAAATATGGAGATCTCACTTGGGGGAAAAAAACCAAAATTTTAAACAATCCCAGTGATGCATGCAGGATATAATCCAGATCATGTTTCCACACAAGGGTCACTCTTGCGGAATTACAATGCAACTGGATAAATAAAAGGCTGCTTATACTACAGAACACCGGTGATGCACAAACACATGTGTATGGGGAAATAAGCACATCATCATGATTTCAGAAATGTTTACCTCTCCCCCCCCCGCCTTCAATTAATTGGACAAAGCAAGAAAAGGTAAGAATGATGTGAAATCTAAATTGTTTTAGAGATGGGGGAAGGGGGAATCCGCTATACCATTCTGCCCTTAATTCAATTGCCATGCTCAGCAGTGCATGTCTCAGTTAAATTTGGTTCAAGATAACTGTCTAGTGTTACATGGTTCTCATTTACATGGCAGGCTTCTTCACATTCCTCTGGCACTGCCACCGAGTGTTAATATAAACTTCTTGTCACAAGGGGTTAATTAAAAGTGAAACTGTCGATCCTTCACCTTGGCTCTAAATTTCCTTGGTATTTTCAGATGACCTTGAAATTGCTTGTTAATCGTTTCATCTACATGCAGGTCAGCACTGAACAGTAACTTTCTACTGCCATAATTTAGAGTTTCTTTTAAAAACGAGTTGTTAAGAGAACAAGAGTTTTTAAATGAAGCATGCCATGATACCTGAGCTCAATAACAGCAATTATATACTCAAGAAGCAATGTGAATACCTATGGCAGCACTTACAGAATTGACATTGTCTTCTCCAATAAATAAGTTAAATAAATAGATTGTGCAGGTTCAGTAGATGTGCACTTATGAGTTTAAGCTGATTTGTAATTTTGTCAAGAGCGATTTGGAGCAATTCTCTTTCCAGTCATATTCAGCCCTTGGAAATTAATAAGCAAGATGTAAATAGTTTCATTTTTATCCCTCCTGTAAAAGCAGGGGCTTTCATGAGGATTTGTCAAAGCCATTTATAGGATTACAAATCTTTCTCATTTTGTAGACAAAGAATTTATAATAATTCAAAGTAAAATTTTCTAGAGCAGAAGATTTTCCAGATAGATTTGGGTATATTTGCAGTGGAATGCCATGCCATGGAGTCACTCCAGTTTAAACCAACTGCTTTCAATGAGTTTAGACTGGAATAACTCAGGACGAGATTGCTCCATAAGTAAAATTTAAGTTAGACATTCTTTAGTCCCTAAACTGTGGTTGAATCCTTACTGTGAATATATACTTGCTAGTTCATGGACTGGCAGTTTACAATATTTTAGGCAATATTTAGATAATAATCTCTCCTAATTTTTCCTTATAATTGGGGAAGGGGAGAAGAGTAAGATGTGACTTCTTGTCCAGCCCAACAGCATACCTGTGCCAACTCAATATTCCTAGACATCCATATGTGAGTGAAAGGTACAAAGCATATATGGTCAAACCATGCAGCTGATTAATCAGACTTAGGGGAGTGGGGAGGTGTGACAAAATCAATCAAGGTATTTTGTGGTACATTTTATGTACACACACTTTATGTACATTTTATGTACACACACTCTGTAAAATTGAACATGGCCATCCAGGAATGTTAAGGTGGGCAGGCATACCCCAAAGGTGGATCAGAAAGCAAAAATCCTCTTAGAAAGAAAACATGAGAGAATTTTGTCCACTTAGCTTTCTTAATATGATCTGATTCTTTTTTTCCAATGTTTCGATAGGGCATTTCCCCCCCAAAAAAACTAAAAATTAACAGCTATTTATTGTCCCTATTTTGAAAATACTCTAGACTGTTAACAATGGTAATGGCTTGCCTGGAAACTAGCAACAGTCACAAATTAAAAAAAAAGATTATTCATGCATTAAAATGAGTAAATCAAATGCATATTTTATGTCAACAAAACTGCAGATACTGCCAATGAGATGTGTTTCCCATTCCAAAGTTAAACAATAAGCTGTGGAGGTAACTACACAGTTGACTGAGGCTGAAATCCTAAATCTACTTTTTTGGAAGAAAGCTTCACTGACTAAAACGGGGCTTAGTCTGGATAGACGTATTTAGGAATGCTCCCTAAATTAATTAACATTTTTAAAAAATATTATAAGAGTAGCATGGTCCAGTAGGGTTTGGAAAATAAAAACATGTACTACCAATTGTTTTTTTGTTAAATTAGTTCCTTTTTTGTAACTGAATCTCTTCAGTGAAGAATAATCTAGAGATGGTTAGCAATGAAGGACTATTCAAAGGCCAAGCACAAAAATGGTGGCCATGGAAAAAGTCCATAAAGAGCTCATACGAAATGGCCACAGTCTGTTAGAAGCTGGTTGCTGCATCTGCCAACACATGTAGTATGATTGTTTTCTGTGCATGTCAAGGAGGTACTGCTTTTCTGATGCTTCCCAACAACTGTTGAAAACTGAATTCTAGTACAAGGTGCACACCGCCACCATATCATAACAGGCTAGGGACCACAGTGCCCCAGGCTTTTCTCATGAAGACCACATGGCCAGATGGCTTTGCGCATAAACTCAAGAGGAAGAGGGAAAATGTTATCTGCTCAAACAGGGCGAGCTGCTGGAATCTCAAAGAAACCCTGTCAACAGAATTTAATAATTCATAGCCTCCGTCTTAGGGGGAAACTGCCTGCTCTGTGTGGTTGTGTGATTCTTTGGGGGGGGGATGTGTCCCTCCCAGGTGCAGTTTTAAATGGGAGATCAGCACAGGATGACCGAGGCTTCTTAACTTTCCTTTTGTGCTAATTATTTTTTTACTGAAAATGCCCTTTCTTGGCAGCTTTTACCCCTGCTGGTCTTTCTACAAATGCAAGGTTAAAAAAGCCCTTCTTCGGCCCATTCTGGCCTTCCACGTAAAACTGCAGCTTCAGTAGCTGCCTCGTGTTTTTTAAAATCCCATAAAAGAATCACAGACAGACAAGTAATTCATAGGGCTTCCCCTTAATATTCTTTCCACAGTGTTTGAGAGAGACGGAGAGTCACAAATCCACAACCAGAAATTTTGTTAGAAGGGAGCATACAGGTACAGTGGAGAAGGGCGGAGGCCAGCTTAAGTCGATACGAAACAATAAATTCAAGTTGCCTAACAGAGGTTAAGTTGCTTAATTAATAGATCAGATTTTATAAAGGACTCAACAATTCAGAGCAGGCTTCTTACTGAGCAGATGGGTGGGATATGGCTCACCTTTCTGTCCTGGTTCCTCTGCAACTGTAAAGGCTAGAGGATTTTTTGCCTTATGTTGTTGCTGGGGTTTGTTTTCCAAATGAAAGGTCAAAATTTAGAGAAAGGGCCTGCAATATTCTCCTACTTCTTGAGGCCAGAGCCATACAGAAAGAGAGATCTGGCAACAGCAGCATGGACTAGGGCCCTACAGAAAAGTTTGGTCTTCCAAAGACACTCCCAATACTCAAAGTCAAAATGCATTTTAATGTAAGGGTAGATCGCCCACATCCCTGCTGAATGGTGTGGGGGGAGGGGGGTTGCCTTATTTTACTGTTTGTACTTCCAGTCTTTCCAACCTTTAAAAGCTGTAAGGGGTACAAACGGGTTTTATTTTTTTAAATTTTACACTTACTTTTGCTCAAGCTCTTCCTAGGGTCACAGAGCATGCCTTTTAAAAACAACCAACCAAAAAAACAAGCGTTGTCTGCCTGTTACGTGTTCCTTGAAAATGCATGAAATTAAGAGTTTGACAAGGGATTAAAAATGAAGGTGAGTGTGTATGGCTGGGGAGGGAGAGCACCGTTGCTTGCAAATCTATGTTTCCTTTTCCTTTTTTTAAATTCACAAGCTGGTGTCTCCATTCTGTTTATACTCAGCTAAAATATTGAGAGTCATATCCTCGCTTTTGGACTGCACGTTGAGCTCACTGCGTCTCGAGGCCTTCCTGGTTGCCCTGGAGAGCCTTCTTCGGAAGGTGTCTCCTGCCAAGAAATACAGAATAGGATCCACACAGCTGTTGAGGCTAGCGAGCCCCCGAGTTACTTGGTAAGTGGCATAAACCCTGTTGTTGAAGGCACACATTTCGGGAGTTTGAAAATCTAGCCTGGCTCGTAGATTCAAGTTCTTCATCACATGAAAAGGAAGGTAAGACACAGCAAAAACGGCCAACACTATAATTACCAGATAGATTGATTTCCTCCTCAGCGGAGAATTGTCTAAGTCTTTGTAAATCAGTGCTTTCACTATTAATCCATAGCAACCCAGGATCAGGATGAATGGGATACAGAACAAGAAGACAGTGGTACACATACTATAAATGAAGTAACTTCGCAGGTAGTCATCTTGCGTCGTGTCGTAACAAGTCATGGTCTTGTTTTTCCTTTCACCGGTCCCGGAGTAGAACAAGATAGGAGAAATACCAGCCACCACAACAACCCAGACCAAGGTGCTGATATAAACGGCATTCTTCTTTTTTAGTTTCCCCAGTGATTTTAAGGGATATACCACACCTGTGTACCTGTGGACGCTGATGCAGGTGAGGAACAAGATGCTTCCGTAGAGGTTGACATGGAAGATGAACCTCTGCAGCTTGCACATGAAGTCTCCCAAGATCCAGTCCGTTTCGTTGAAATAATAGAAGATCAGTGCGGGAAGAGTCAAGACATACAAGAAGTCAGCCAGTGCCAGGTTGAACATGTAAACTGAGATGCCGCTCCAAGGCCTCATGTGGAAGATAAACATCCAGATCGCCACACTGTTGCCCAGGAATCCTGTAATGAAGACTACGATGTAGACGGCAGGAAGGTAATAGAACTGAAAACCAGTTTTGGTCAGTGTGCATCTGTTGGTGGCATTGCCTGAGGTCCATCCGCTGCTAGTCAGCAAGTGAGTCTCAGTCACATTCAGAACAGCTGACCAGAGGACTTCAGTCATGGTTTCTCCAACCAAGTCACATAGATCTAGAGGTCTGGTATCTGCAACTGTCTCTGATGAGGAAAAAAAAAACTAAGCTGCAACAATTTTAAAAAGCAAAGAATAACCCACCTTTGTACAATGTTTGCTTTTAATGAAGAACCACATACATGGGTTCTTTCCCCGGCCGCATGGTCATTCATTGGTGAAACCACTGTCACTTATTTGGTAAGATGGCAACGTTCCCAGATAGAGCTGCCCACTACCCACGTCAATGGTTCTGAAAACAGGCCCTTATGCACTTGTACTTACCAAATATTGGCCTGTATCCAGCATAGTTTGAAGCCTTTTTCCAGCCTAAGGAGCTGTCTTCCAACTTTATCGGCCAGTGGAAGAGCTACTCAAACTGAAGGAAGGCTCCAAACTCTGAAGAGCGGACTGGTAGGATGCCATGCCATGCTCAGTATACACATCTTTGCCCAGCTTTATGCATGGGAAATCCCCCTGTCTCACCCAGCTTCAAAGCAGTCTAGTGTTATGATTTCCCTGATTTACCAAGGCAACAACCTGCATCCCCAGCTGGAATCTTACATATCAGGTAGGCAGCTGGGAAACAGTCACCTCTGCCTGGAGATGCTGCCAAGTACTAAGGAGGGAGGGAGCCCTGTATGCTCCTCAAAGGGCTTGATACCTCCCTGCCATCAACCAAGACCCAAAATAAAGAAGGGAGAGCAGGGATCAGAATGTGGGCGGCTGCAGGAGAAGTAATGGAAGGAAGAGGGAAGTGGGAAAGAGGATTTCTTTTTAAAAGCCAAGAATTGAGGTTACAATCCTTACCTCACGAGTGGGGGGGGGGGAGTACAAAAACTTCCATATGGGGTCTGGATTACATTCTAAAGCTGAAAAGCAGAGGCTGAGAGAAAGTGGCCATATTTAGAAAGTGGATAAAGGACAACATGAGTGGGAGGAAAAAGAAGATCTTAAGGGGGGGTGGCGGCGAAGGGAATGTAAAGGGAGAAAATGAATGAGGCGAGGAATGCATCGAGCTGTCGACACAAGCAACAAAGCAACAAACACTTCAGGGTTGTTTCCTTGTACATGTCCTTGGTAGAGTCTGATCTGCAGAACACCACAGTGCCCCTCCAATAGCACCCTCCTTCACCAGTCCTACTGCTCTATCCGAGATAATGTTTAAAAAACCTGCAACTGATTTGCATACTGAGTCTTATTACTAAGGGCAGCGAACCTGTGCAAGGTTAGTAGAACTTGCATGTGTGTGCCCCCTCCCCTCCCTTCCTCCAAACACATCCTCGCATGCTACATGCAGGTCTTAATTAAAGTTCATCCGCGGGAACAGCTCAACCGTGGAACAAGTGCAGTAATCATCCAGCCCGGGTTGCCCCTGGGCATGTGCAGAATGCCTTTCCTTTCTCAATGAATAATTAGCCTCTTGCTTTTAATTCTTCTGTCAGCTTCTTTCAAGCCAGCGCTTGACGCCAATCCTTTTGCACGCTTACTTGGGCGTGCAATTCCACTTAAGCCAATGAGGTTTTACTTCCGTGTAAATATATATATATTCAGCATCGAGGCCCTAGAAAACCCTCATTGCTCACCTCGCGAGCAACAGGAATGTCTGCTTCCGTGTTTGGGTTTTTCAAGCAGAAACTATATTGTTATTATTTTTGTTATTGTTATTATGTCACGTGCTCCTGCATGTCTCCTTGGCCCCCTTGGGAGGGGGGCTGACTTTCCTCCGTAAGGATTGCCCCACTCGGAGGAGAGCTTAGCGCCCAGCTCAGCCGCCGTCCATCCCAGCAAGGCGAGCTATCGAGGGGGACCTCATAGAAAAGGACAACATGATCGCCCTTTACCCGGCCCGGTTGGCTCCGCAAGCTCGAATGCCGCCTCTCCTTCCCCCTGGCGGGCGAGCAACTTTCCCGGGCAAGACTTACCTTCTGGGGCGCCTCAGCCCGCCCGGGGATGGCTGGCAAGGCAGCGCGCTGTTGCCGGCGGCTCCTCCATACCGCCGTGTTTTCCCGGCGGCGCCTCCCGACGTAGTGGGAGAGGTGGGGACGCGGCGGGTGGTGCGGAGCATGTGCCCTTGTCAAAGCCCCTCCGAGTCCGGAGCTCCGCTCGGCGACGGCCACATTCCCACACTGGCAGCGAGCGGGCGGACAGGCGGGCGGACAAAGTGCGTGCGCGCTGGCTTGCGCGGCTGCACGCAGGCGGGCGAGTGAGTGCAAGTGAGCCGAGGGAGGGAGCAAAGGAGGCGGGAGCAGCAGCAGCAGCAGCCTCCCTTAGGAAGCGGCGCAGACGGGAGCGGCTCCCCGGCTCCCGCCTCCTTCGCCCTGCCCAGCGTCGCCTTCCTCCCTCGGCTCCACCGCACGCTCCGCGCTGGGAGCGGCGGGGGGGAAGGCTGTTTTCTCAGGCGGCTGCCGGGGCGTCTTCCTCTCGGTCCCTCCGGACAGCAAAGTTCTTGCCGGGGGCGTCGGAAGGGTCAAGAACTTCCTCTCCCCGCGGCTCGACCCCGCCGGGGACCTTTCCGACGCGGAGGCAGCCTCAAAGTTAAGACGTGAAGGCGGGGGGGCCTCGGAGCACGTGCGAAAGGCGGGCCCCGCTGGCTTCTGGCCCGCTCCCGCATCTCTCCGACGACAGTCGAGCGAGAAAGGCAGAAGGTTGTTGATGCCACGAGGGCTGGCGAAATGCGCCGTAGCCGGCGGGAGGGGAGGGGAGTGGGGGGCGCTGCGAGCGGGAGGGCTGTTGGTTCTCCCGTGCCCCTAGAAAACGGCTATTTTTTGTTTCGTTTTCTATTTCTGTAATTGCTACGTTAAACCAAGATTAGGTTAGAGACTCATACGCACGGTTTAGGAACGACTCCCTCATTCTGCCCCTCAGGCGTTAAACCACCTTCTTTTTCACGTGGGTAGGAAGATCAGGAGAAAGTCTCCAAGTGTCACCTGTGAGAACAACGAGTCTTGGTTCAAAATGGAAACGCTGCCCCCCCCCCCCAGCCCAGCACGATTCTTTTAACCGGAGCTGGCAGAAGCCCTTTGGCTAAAAAAGCTAGAAATCTATCTGGAAGCCACAGCCTCTTCCTTCCCCCCATATTACAGCCTCTGATTTCTTCGTGGGAGTTGGTGAGGCATGCTCCATGATACTCTTTATAACTGAATATTTCAGGAATGAGTATTTGCATTTTAAAATTGTGTATGGCCTAATTAAAATTAAGCTCCCATATTTAACTGAAGATGGAACAGCATTCTTCCCACCTTGTGCTTTTTCCCTTCCTCTCATAAGTAAGGACCATTCCAGTCTATATACAGAGCTTCCTCACACATCCCACTGAGTTTTCCAGGTGCTGACTGTAAACTAATATAAAGTAAGGGTTTCCCTTGCTTGAAAGCTGGTCATATCTGACTCTAGGGTGTGGTGCTCATCTCCATTCAAGCTGAAGAGCCAGCACTGTCTGAAGACGTTTCCGTGGTCATGTGGTTGGCATGACTAAATGCCGAGGTGCACGGAATGCTGTTACCTTCCCACCGAAGCAGGACCTATTTATCTACTTGCCATTTCTTGCTTTCAAACTGCTGAGTTGGCAGAGCTGGAGCCAGAGACATGAGCTGACTCCGTCACGTGGCACTAGGGTCTTGAACTGCCAAACTACAGACCTTCCGGTCTGCAGCTCAGTGTCTTAACCTCTAAGCCACCGCAGCCCTATGTAAACTAAAATGGTAATGATTAATTCTGTATCTTAAAACTTCACATTTTCTGACCAGCCAAAGATTTGTTAAACTAAGGCTCCGGTCACATGGGCAGGAAACTTTGGGGGGGAAGCGTGGCTGTTTGCCCCGGGGCAAACTAACGCGCGGTTAAGCAATCAGACCCCCTGTGGAGGTCCAGGTTCCGTGGGTAGGGAGAGGTGCCGATCGCAGGACACGCCTGCGCGCAACGAAGAAGTGCGCGGTGCGGCAAACTGGTTTTCTTTTTTTGTGTACACGACAAATGTGCATGCTCCGTTGTGTGCGTGTGCACATCCACGGAGACTTGGGGGGGGAACCCTTTTTCGCAAGGGGACATGGGCGGGCGCCGGATGCCACCGGAAACGCGATCAGACGCCCGCCCTTGCCCCGCGGTTTCTGGAAACTAGTACCTCCGAGGTACTAGTTTTTTGCTGCGCGTTTTCGGCGGGAAGCCTTGGTTGTGCCACGGAAGCACTACGCTTCCCAGATGTGCCGGTGAGATTGCGCCCGGAAAATCCGCCTGTCTTCCGTCTCTCTTGCGTGGCTAATGTTCCGTGTGACCGCAGCCTTACTCAGTATCTCATAATGCTTCTACAAAAAACTCAGAAGTTCTTTTTAAAATTCAAATTACATAAATGGTAGAAAGCAGTTTGGTGTAGTGGTTAGGAGTACGGACTCTAATCTGGGAGAACTGGGTTTGATTACCCACTCCTCCACATGTAGCTGCTGGTGTGATTTTGGGTCAGTCATAAGCAATGTTCCCTCTAAGCTGTGGAGTCTTGTGAGCAAAAATTCTACTTTGTGAGCTACTGGCATTAAAGTTGTGAGTGAGTGATTTGGCTGCTGCATAAATTAGTTTGCTCTGGAGCCCTCCTTCCTGAGCTAAGACAAAAACGAGTGAGCCGGAGGCTAAAAAACTGTGAGCTGGCTCACACTAACTCAGCTTAGAGGGAACATTGGTCATAAGTTCTCTCAAGGGCCGTTCTCAGGAGAGCTCTCTCAGCCCCACCTACCTCACAGGGTGTCTGGTGTGGAGAGGGGGAGGGAAAGGAGATTGCAAAATGTTCTGAGACTCCTTCGGGTAGTGAGGGGCGGGGTATAAATCCAATCTCTTCTTCTCCTTGTCTGCTGAGTTCTGTAGGCTCCCTCAAGTGTCCTAGCTAACAACCTGTCCAGGCAATTTGGTATGTAAGAGAAATGCCATTAGTTTCTGTAGCGCTACTCCTTATTTATTTATTAAATTTATATCCCGCCCTCCCCAAACGGGCTCAGGGCGGCTATCAAAGAGGCATATGCCATGATTGAACAACTAAAAACACACACATACTCCTGAACACATCCTGACATTAATCCCCCCCCCATGTAACTTCTGTATCCTGCATTATCGATCCAAAGTCACCTCCTTCCTGGCCTAGGCTAGCCCGATCTCATCAGAACCACCAGAGAAGCCCAGGGTTGCTACGCAGAGGCAGGCAATGGCAAGCCACCTCTGAACATCTCTTGCCTTTGAACCCTGTGGGGGTCAGCATAAGTCAACAGCATTTGGACGGCACTTACCCAGCTGGCCACTTTCCACCGAGACGAGTCCATTAAAGAACAATTGGCTTATAAAGGGTTAATTCTGTTTAGGATTGTAACGTAAAACTTGACAGTACTGGAGTAGTAGAGTACCTCTTGGAGGACAGATAATCTGACACACCTTTTCCGTAAAATCTGGGAAGTGCTTTCCTACATCACCTGACTTTAGTCACCCTCAAGGTGCAGACACATGAGATAAACGAAAGCAATTGTTTTCTGAGGGGTATGCCCTGGAACATCTTCTGGCCGAACTTAGACCATCTTCTGGCCAGAGTCTCTGCTGGTTACTACCCCTATCTTGGGATTTGATTGTATTGCCGCCATAGTTGGTTCTGTAATTGTTGTTGTTTACTTGTTTTAACTGATATGGTATTTATTAATTTTTTATTTTTTTTGTCATGCTATTTAATCCTGTTAGCCGCCTTGAGCCTGCTTGTCAGGCAAGGCGGGGTATAAATACAAATAATAAATAAATTGAATAAATGTGAACCTGGTGCAAACATACTATTTTAGTGACCATTAGATCACCTCTGTAGGGCCAGTGTCATTCTCTTACTGCATGTGGGATGTACGTGTGACTATTATCCTAAGCAAAGTTATACCCCTCTGAGTCCATTGAAGGATAGCACGGTTACTCAAGGCTATTGAAGTTGATGGATAAATTCAAATTTGAACCTTAAGTGTCTTGTTTCCTGAGACTCTGACCATGACTGTATACCACCGCACTGACAGTCCAGTCCAGTGCAGCATTATTGCAGTCTAAGCACATTGATTTCAATGGGGTAAGACTTGAGTAACTGCATAGGATGGCACAGTAATTAAAACAGAGCCACGATTGTTCTATTGTTGAGTTGTTTCGGAAATATCACATTGTTATGCTACAGGAAACCTGGTCCACTGTGGCCTTAGCTGTGGCTGGTTTTCAGGCCTTTTCTTCCTCTGCAATTAAGGGTTCTGGCCCTGGACGTCCCAGGGCCGGTGTTGCGTGCTTGATCTCCAACAACTTGCCAGTGACTATGTGTTCTGTCTTCACCTTACCAGATGGTGATTTTATTGAAACTTACTTCCTTTGATCGCACCTTACTTTTGATGAATAACTATATCCCCCCGCTTTTACTTGAGGAAGAGGTTGAAAAGCACTGGAGTGAGTTGGAAGGAACAATTGAGAAGCTTCAGCGGACTTATCCCGCCTCCATGATGCTCGTGGGAGGGGATTTGAATGCCAGGATCGGTGCCTTTGATGACCAATTGTTGTCCTTGGTGGGTGACTTAGACGACTTAGCTTTGCCTCCTCCTTGGTTTTATCGTGTCTCCAAGGACTCAAAGGTTAATTCAGCTGGCAAATGGCTAGCCATAATGGCGCTCACTCAGAATTTGTTTTTTCTAAACGGTGTAGTTTCTCCGGATACACTAGGCGATTTTACATGTTATACCCCAAGGGGTTCCAGTGCTGTTGACTTGATATCTCAAGAATTTTTCCCCTTGGTGCAAGAGTTTGTCGTTCGAGATTACCTAGGGGGTGATCATCTTCCACTGTTTCTTTCTTTAAACATTCCCACTGGCCATATAGGTGAGGCAGTTGTGACAAAGTCCAGTGGAGAAGTTATACAGTGGATTAGATGTGTTCGGAGGAATCCCCCAGTGGACGTCTTGCAGGTGGCTGAAATTCAAGATTGCCTGGACTTTGGCAACTTCCCTAAGATTCCCTCTTTGATAAATCCCTCCCAGCTGCAATCAACACTTTACCTTGGCCTTCTTAACTTTTTTGTGGATAGCTGTTCTTTAGTTAAGCGTGTCTCAGTGGACCAGTAGAGGACACCGGGAAGTTATTCAAATCATTGGTTTGATGCTGAATGTAGGTTGGCCAAGAAGGCCATTCGAGTAAAATTACGGCGTTATAAGTTTACCAGGAGACCTGAGGACTTGACTGAATTTTTTTCTCTTAAAAAAGTCTTTAAGGACTTAATCCGAATGAAAAAGGAAGACATGGGCACCCAAGATTGGGAATCTCTTGCTACCATCCTGGAGTCCAAGGATGTGAAGGCCTTTTGGAGGCTTGTCAGACCAGGACGTCAGGCTGACATCGTGGCGACAATCTCCCCAGCCAGATGGAGGGTGCATTTTGCAGCTTTGTATCAATCCTCAGAAAGTCCTGTCGATGAGAAGGAAATTAAGGAGGTTTTGATCTCTGCACCGGATTGGGAGCGGGTCTCTCCAGAGTCAG